ACCAAATGGATAGTTGGATAAAAGACATTCTAGAGACAGGTAACAGTTTATGTTAAGAGGGTAAAAAATAGGGGTGAGGGTTGTGACTCAGTGGTAGAGCGCTTGAAGCACTGGGTTTGACCCTCAGCACCACATAAAAATAAGTAAATAAAGTAAAGGTATTGTCCACCTACAACTAAAAATTTAAAAAATAAAAAAATAGGGGCTGTGGCTCTAGCTCAGTAGTAAAGCACTTGCCTAGCATGTGTGAGGAATTGGGTTCGATTCTCAGCACCACATAGAAATAAATAAATAATAAGTAAATAAAATAAAGGTCCATCAACAACTAAAAAAATATTTAAAAAAGAGAGATGTATAAAATAATTGCATGGTATGGTTGAGAAACTACAAGAAAGCTGGCATTTTGGAGCGAGGCCATGTTACTTTAGTATAGTTATACACACACACACACACACACACACACACACACACACACTTTTACATGCACACCCTCTAAACCTCTTCTTTGCTTCAACAGTTTGGGACTGAGCATGTGGTGCTAAAGCTAATCAGTCCACGTCTAATTGGAAGGCAGAATGAGACTGGAGAAAAAGAATTTTCCTTGTCACTTGCAAATTGTGAATGGGAACAGATGTAAGAATTAAGATTAGAGAAATAGATAGTACCTCCCAAGTTTCTTTCAATGATCAAAATCAAATGTGATGTTCATTTTCGATTTTTGGAACTTTTGTTCCAAAAAGATCTGAAAGTTACTTAAGCTGGAGCTGTATTTCTATCTGGATTTGGGCAAACTGAAAAAAAAAATTGATGTAGCTAATCAGCTATGGCTTTGATGAAATGTATTCACACACAGACAATCACCAGGCCCCATCCTGGAAGCCAATCATTTCAGAACATGTTTTTTTCAAGATGTCAGTTTGTTTTAATAGTAGGTTGTTATACCCAAACTACCATATTCTTGGCTTTCTTTCTTTTTGCTCTCTTTCTTCTTTTTTGTTTGCAAAAAAGCAGTAACTTAAACCATAGGGAAAAAAAATCACATAACTGCTTTTCACCATTTAAAAGAAAACCTCTCCATTTACATGTGTTTTGAACTAAAATCTCTTAAAACGTGAAGATTTCATGAGACTAAAAAAAAAAAATCTTAAAAAAAATAGAATCTGTTAGAATCTCACGTTGTCATTCTTATGTTCCTGCAGTTAAAGACGATGTCATTATTTCCATTATACTTACCTCTTAATTTTCAGAGCTTATTAGCCCTGCTGTAAAAACTTGTTCCAGTTGAAATTTGGCAAGCTGACAAGGCTGCATGCCAGAAGTAATTTACTATCCAGTATGGTTTGCGAAGTAAAAGAAGCTATAAATAATAGAAAAAGAAATGAAAAGTTACTGGTTCCAAATATTTTAATGTGTGTAATGTGTGTCACCTCAAACTTTTCAGCTTTTGTTGTTGGCAATGGGAGATAACATGAAAGGTTTGAAAAGTACAGATGCTTTGCATTCCCATCAAACTGAGGGCTCTGATGTTCTTAGGCATCAAAGACCAGTCTGTGTCTATCACTGCTGCTCTGACTTTGAAGTATACCAGGGCTCTCTGTGTGGGAGAAGCAGGCAGGGGACTTCGAACAAGGCAGGGGGATGGGATTCCAGGTGCTTTACCACTCATTATTGCTGAAATTAGGTATCTCCCTTTATCAAATAACAATAATAGTGGGGGAAAAAAAAAGAGAAGCATTTCTTTCTCGGCTGTTTTTTAACCACTGAGCTGTCTGTGAACTTAATCTTCAGATGTGACCATGTGAATATTCCAAGGAAAAGTTCAAGTTTACTTTGAAGTTTATGTTTAAGTACTTTGAAGGCTAGAATGAAGTTTTAACTTGGTTTGCAAACATCTGGTTAGTGTTCCTCTGGCAGACTCCTTAAGAGATTTTCTCAGAGCCAGGTGTGGTGGCATGCGCCTGTAATCCCAGTGGCTCTGGAGGCTGAGACAGGAGGATCAAAGCCAGCCTCAGTGAGACTCTATCTCTAGGTAAAATACAAAATAGGGCTGGGGAGGTGGCTCAGTAAGTGCCCCTGATTCAATTCTTGGTACCAAAGAAAAAATTTTTTTAAAAAAGAGAGATTTTCTCAGGACCCTAACTGAGAGCCCTCTGCAGTTTTTCTACTGGTTCATCACATCAGAATGGGGGCCAAGTGTTCCTCTAAACCTTAGGATGATAGGATCCAACATTCTGGGATTAATCTTACCTGACAATCTGGGGGAAAAAATCATACGAATTTATTTTAAAACAAATACTAATATATTGTGGGTTAGAGCACCAAATTCATGTGAACTCTTTTAGAGAGGGGAAGTACTGCTCACTTATTGCAATATTTCTGACTTTGCCACACACATAAGAATAATAAATTGGAGCTCTTGAAGAGAATGATATATTTAGAGTCTGGTAGTTAACTTTTACTTCTTATTAAGGTATGACTTTCATAAAATGTACAAATCCTAAGTGTATACCTCAGTGGGTAGATTTTTACACATGTATACATCCATGTGATGGTCACCTAGATCAAGTACACACCATCTCCAGATGCAGAAAGCTTCCCAGCGCTCCCTCCTGGTCAGGACTACCTTACTAATCTGACATCTTTGCTGAATTTTAAAGATAAAATATAAGACTCAAACAAACAAACAAATAAATTTTCTGAGGGACATCCTAGATTCGGGTGCACTGGATATTGTGCAAATGGTTTCCTCTGCTGTCTTGGGCTTTCTCTAGCAGGTGTTTTTTCGTTTTTTTTTTTTTTTTTTTTTGAGTGCTGAGGATGGAACCCAGGTCGTAGAGCACACTAAGAACTCTCTACCACTGACCTAGACCAGCAGCCCTTAGTAGGTACTTCTTACTTCTTCATGAGCTCCTTTTGTTGATATTTTAAAATATCTGTGTAATGTGATTAGGAGGGTTAAAAAATAAAGAACTTAGAGCACATAGTAACTAGGCATATAGTAAGCCCTTGAGAAGTGGTAACTATTATTATGAGATGAAGAAGTGAAAAGGAGGTTTGCTATTTTCATTATAATTCTTAGAGCAATATAAACATAAAAGCTAAATTTCAAATAAGGGAGGTGAGTATTTATAGTTAGGTTGGCTTAAAAATCATAGTTAGCCAAGTGCAGTGGCCCACACCTGTAATTCCAGTTACTCAAGAGGCTGAGGCAGGAGAATTGCAAGTTAAAGGCCAGTCTCCAAGAGTTAAGCCAGCCTGTCTCAAAATAAAAAATAAGGACTGGGGATGTATGTAGTTCAGTGCTAAGTTGCCCAATACCTTAAACAAAACAAAACATAGTTAACTTCTTAAGGTCGCTATCAAATTTGCCTTGAAATGAAATATTACAATTTGATAGAGCTTGCAAACTTCCTTGCACTTAAAGAAACTTTGTAAGTGCCTTTTCTTATTCTCATACATTTTTAATTTAGTAATTATTAAATGCTAGACATTGCTCTATCATTTCCAGTGAGGAAAATAGGGGGAAAATAATTTAACTTACTATGTAGTTTATCCCAACTCCTACTGTTAACACGGAACCCAGATATTTTACTATTCCAAACACATTGCATCTTGGTCTTTTTAATTTTTTTTCTTTGTAATGGGGACTGCACCCAGGGATACTTTACTGGTGAGCTACCTCCCCATCCCTTTTTATTTTTTGACAAAGTCTCCCTAAATTGTCCAGGCCAGTCTTTTTTTTTTTTTTTTTTTAAATAAAGTCGTCAATAGACCTTTATTTTATTTATATGCAGCGCTGAGCATGGAACCCAAAGCCTCACACATGCTAGGCAAGCTTTCTACCATTGTGCTACAACTCCAGCCCTAAGGGCAGGCTTGAACTTGCAATCCTCCCCTCTCAGGGCCTCCTCAGTTGCTGGGATTACAGGTGTGAACCACCTATGGCTGGCTCCATCTTTGTTTTTTACCCATAATTCCTTTAATTTCCCTCAAATATTAGAACTGAATTAAGAAACCCTGAAGCCCAAGCCAACCTTTGTCTCATTTCTGAGACCAGGGGGTAAAATGTGAAATGAAAAAAAGGAAGGAACCTGGTTAATTGCTAAATCTATTCCCCTTTCATTAATTCACAGAAGATCAAGGTACTAATGTGAATGTTGAAATAAACAGGTTTAGCAAGAATTCCTGCTTTTTTTTTTTAAAATCATCTTCCAGAACTTAAAAAGAATTGAGCCATGCGGTTATTATTATTATTATTTTTTAGGTTTAGTAATTACACTAACAATATGGCTTCCAAGCTGGGTTGCCTGATGGTTTTCTTAGAAATGCTAAGTTGCTTGGGCGGTGGTGTAAGGAGGGTCTGTGTCTCAATACCAAAACCCCCTTTCCTAAAACAAATTATAGTGTCTGATCTACGCAGGGTCACGTGTTTTAAAAGATCCTGTCTACAGAGCTATTTAAATAAGACATTTCTTTCCTTTTTAATCACCCAGTCGGATTCTAACTGGCACGTGAGAACCCAGTGTAATAACTGTTATCACACTATTTTACAGTCTAGCAGAAAGCTAGGACTAAGTCTTTTGGGTGGCGGGGTCAGCCTTAGCAGCCCCTACGATTTCCTTGACTGATTTTTTTGAAATGTTTACGTCCTTTACATAATATCTTCCTCTATGAGCTTTTTAAAAAATTATTTTTCAGGACCTTGGTGTTGGGAAGTAGGGCCATGGGATGGGAGCACGTTAAAACCAGACAATATCCTGCACCCGCGGGGCTGTCGCCAGGTAAATCATCCAGACCCGGAGGCGCTTTTTTCAATCCCTGCCGGAGTCTGGCTGCGCGCGCATTGGGTCCCACCTCCAGCCTCGCCCCGCCCCTCCGCTTGAGTCCTGCCCAAGACCGCGGGGGTCTCTCGCTGCAATTCCACCGTAAGCCACAAGGGGGTGACAGCGGCCGCAAGAGGCGAAGGATCTTTTCCGACGGCGGAAGCGGAAGAGGCGGGACGTCGGGAGCACGTTTCGTCAGTACGTGCGGGCTCTAAGGTTGGGACTGGAGACTAGAAGGTGGGCGCTCTCTGCGCCTGTTGCCTGCTGAGTTTCTCCTGCGGGGCCGTACGGTGCAGACCTCATGGCGGAGATAATCCAGGAACGCATAGAAGATCGAATCCCGGAATTGGAACAGCTGGAGCGCGTTGGACTATTCAGTCGTGCGGAGATTAAGTGAGCCGGGTGGGAAAGGGAAGGGCTGGAGCGGGAAGAGGGGAGGTTGGGCGTGCGTATGGCCCGGACCGGGCTGGAGATGCTTTGGTTGTGTTTATTTTTCCTAACGTGGTATAAACCCAGTGCCGGGCTTTGGGGATGACCAGAATTAAATTCTTATCCTTTACAAGGTGTTCCGTCGGTCCATTTACCCACCGGGTATACTGACAGCCCTTCATGGAGAAGAGTTTTGGGGATATAAAGGTGATAAACCGGAAGGCATTTTGGATGGTGGGAGAATTTCAGGCAAATTAAACATTTCGGTTACAGTTTAAATCGGTGTGTAGAATGTACTTCTGTAGAGATGTCAGCAGAGTGCTGCAAGAGCCCGAGAGTGGAAGACTTGGCAGAGGGGGATCATTTGATTTCGTTTCCTATGTACTCCCAATCCTAGCCACAGCGCCTGACACACAGATTGGCATTCAATAATCTGTTAATTACTTCTAGCAGTTTTAGTGGTTTTCCGTGACTGTTTCTTTGGTAGACAATGACTCTGGATGCAGTCATGTGACTGGGAATCTAAAAGTATTTTTTAATGAAACAGAATATAGCATTGGGGACTCTTAGTGTTCAGTAAATGTTATTATTACTAAACGTAAATATTCTGCACACCTAGCATTAAATTTTCCTAATATACACATGTTGTACATTTAGTCCTTAATTAAGGAATGGTGACTCTTCTCCCATAGATCTGTAATAATAATAAGGCTTTTTAGATAGAGACAATACAGTTTTCTAAAAAAATTTTACACATTGAACATATAGGAATAAGAGGATTTTAGTATAGACATTTGATTATTATAAAAACCTAAGTGTGGAGGGCTAGGATGTAGCTTCTTGGCAGAATCCTTGCCTAGCATGTGTAAGCCCCTGGGTTTAATTCTGGTCTACAAGAAATAAACACCTAATAACCTTAATTTAGAGGAAAATAAGTCTTTATTAATACTATATGTAAATAGCATAAAACATTTAACATTAGTTTTGCTTGTAGGAATATCAAATACCCTGGCAATTAATTATGATGGCTGTCCTGAAAATTTTAAAATATATCCTAATCTTAGAAATACAGAAGTAATTGTGTAAGATATTATTTGCCTGTGAAAGAAAATTGTATATGGGAATTATGTTTTGGTTAATATGTGTCTTAAATATATTCAAGGTAATTAAAAAAAAATTCTTTTAAACCTAAAGTTACTTAAGTTTTATTTTTTTGAAGTGTTGCAGTTTAAATAATTTTCTCTTCAGGGCTATCATTAAGAAGGCTTCTGATCTAGAATACAAAATACAGCGAAGAGCCCTTTTTAAGGAAGACTTTATCAATTATATTCAAGTAAGTGAATAATTTCCTTATTTTTTAATCTCCTTACAAATTTTAAGTCAATTAGAGAATGGTGAGATTAACATTAGTTTTTTGCCAAATTCCAGAATTGCAATTAGATTGATATTTTTGAACAGAATTAGAGGTGATTATTGGGAGTTGTATCATCTGCTGAGGCTTTATAGCGAAACTAAACTTTTTTCCTTCTCTTTTTCTTTCTATTGAGTTAGTAGATCAGAGACAATGTGTATCAGGATTTCAGCAAGAGATCTATCTCTTAGCAGGCAAGATAGGGATGTGAATGTGATGATAGTGGATAGCCAGAAAGTATGTCAATTTATAAAGAAGTATGCGGCAAAATTCTTTTTTTTTTTTTTGGTACTTGGGATTGAACCTAGGGGCATTCTACCACTGACACGCACATTGCCAGCCCTTTTTATTTTTTATTTTGAGACAGGAACTTCTTCCTTCCCTCCCTCCCTTTCTTTTTTCTTTCTTGGTACCACGAATTGAACTCGGGGACACTTAACCACCTAGAGCTATATCCCAGACCTTTTTTTATTTTTTATTTTGAGACAGGGTCTTGCTGAGATGGTGAGGCTGGCTTTGAACTTGTGATCCTCCTGCCTTAGCCTCCTGAGGTATTGGGAATACAGGCATGTGCCACTGTGCCCAGTGATTACTTCCATTTTCTAAATAGGTAGAAAGTTTGAAGATAAGACATATAGGCCAAATCATTTTTTAGATGGGGGAGAATAGCTGATATGTCAGATAACAGAATCAGGATTCAGAAAGAATAAATAAGACAAAATGTTTATTTTGGTGTAATGGTGAACACCTGTGATCCCAGCTACTCAGGAGGCTGAGGCAGGAGGATCACAAGTTCAAGGCCAGCCTGGGAAATTCAGTGAGACCCTGCCTCAAAAT